CCCTTAGAGGCCAAGGAATATGTTCTCTACAAAGAAGGAAGTCCAGATTACCCAATACCAACAACCCTTATTGAAACTGAAAACAAAGCCACATTCTCCATCTCATCGGTTGAATGGTACAATGCAGGCCACTATTGGTGCATCTCTACTAGCACCAGTGGCATTTCAGAAATGAGTTACTTCCTGGAGCTGGTGGTGACAGGTGAGAGGACTTTTATCAACCCAAGATTCTGCCTTAAGGAAAGGAATATGTTCACTGTGAGTTCCTTTCTCATATATGAGAAAGGAGAAAAATGCTTTTCATGTAAGCCCACATGACAGGCTTTCTCTTCTCTCCTAGGATGCTACTCAAACAAAGTCACCTTGTCTGTCATTTCTAGCCCTGTAGTGACCTCAGGAGGGCTCGTGACCCTTCAGTGTGTCTCAGAACAGGCATATAATATGTTTATTCTAATGAAGGAAGATGAGAAGTTCTCCCTGGCTTTGCCCTCACAGAATATACACCCTAAGCTATTTGGAGCTGTGTTCACTGTGGGTCCTGTGACCCCCAACCAGAGGTGGAGGTTCACATGCTATGGGTATTACTCGAGCACCTCCCAGCTGTGGTCAGTGCCCAGTAACCACCTAGAGCTCCTGGTCTCAGGTAAGGAACTACAGGACTTTCCTTTGAATGACATTGTAACTGACACAATATCCCAGGAAAGGACCTGGTGTGTTGTGGGTGATCTCTAGGCACAGCTACTGAACTCAGATTCACAGATCTGTGGGACAGCTTGACTTCAGGTGGAGAAATTGGGGTCTAATTAACAGTGGGACTCAAAATCCAGGGAATAGTGAGGTCTTTATGTGTCTTTCTATAACTGCAAATCAGTTTAGATGTCATGGGCAAATGTGACCTTCTTTGTGATATTCTCCTAACAGATGCACCTCGTTCTTTTCTACTTTTTGGCAGGGATCCGTCACAAACCCCGCATCTGGGCTCAGCCTGGCTCTGTGATCCCCTCAGGGAGTCCTGTTACCATCAGGTGTCAGGCGACCCGAGAAACCCTAATCTATGTGATATATAAAGAGGGAAGCCAAGAGCCCTGGGACCAACAGACTCAAACAGACAACAGCACTGAGGCAAAACTCACCATTCCATCTTTGACACAAGTGCAGGCAGGCCGGTATCACTGTTACACTCACACCTCTGCGGGATGGTCACAGCGCAGTGACCCCTTAGAGCTGGTGGTGACAGGTGAGAAGATACCAGAAATCTTAACCCCAGACGTCACTCTCAAGAAAAGATTGCATAAAACTACCTCTCATCAAAGGACAGCCTTGGGGTGGGGGCAATTCAGCCTTTGTGAGCCTCTTTAATTTTCCATGTGTGTTTCTTCTAGGAGTCTACAACAAACCCACCCTGTCAGCCACGCAAAATCCTGTGGTAAACTTAGGAGGGTTTGTGACCCTCTCTTGTACCTCAAGCCAGAGATATGACTGGTTCATTTTAACAAAGAATGGTCAGAAGTTTCCCACCCGTCAGAGCTCAAAACACACACCCACTGGGATGTTCCTGGCTGAGTTTCCAGTGGGTCCAGTGACCTCTAACCAGAGGTGGAGGTTCAGATGCTATGGCTATTACACAAAGAATCCTCAGGTGTGGTCAGAAGGGAGCCAGATCCTGGAGCTCCTGGTCTCGGGTGAGGAAGCCTCAGACTCTCTGTGGAATCAGGTTGCACCTGACTCATGTTCCCAGTGAAGACCAGGGTTGTGATATGTCTGTGGAATCAGGGCTCCTGAGATAATTGACACAGCATGGAGACTGCGGGAGTCACTGTTCAGAAAATGGGGGGGGGGCATAGTGAGACTGGGGCTTGGTGAGGTCAGGAGACTAATGACTATTCCCATGACATTATTGGTCCTTTGCTAATCAAGGGTAAATTTCAAGATCAACAGCATGCTTGATGTTTACTGTAATACTGTTCAAAGTCCCCCTCTGCTTCTCACCTATTTCCCTGCAGGGACCCTTCAGAAACCCACCTTGTGGGCTGAACCAAGTTCTGTGATTGCCTCTGGCAATGTTGTGACCATCCTGTGTGAAGGGTCCAAGGAAAACCAAATATATTTCCTGTATAAAGAAGGAAGCCCAGCACCCTGGGACAGTCAAACTCTCAAAGGTCCTGGTAACAAGGCCATGTTCTCCATAGCATCCATGGAAATGCAACATGCAGGGAAATATCGCTGTTACTCTTACAAATCTATAGGCTGGACAGAGCGCAGTGACCCTCTGGAGCTGGTGGTGACAGGTGAGAGGTCACTTCTCCAACAATAGGACCATCATTGAGTAAAGGAATATGTTCCCTGTAGTGTGTCCTCATATTCCAAAAGAGAGTAAATTGTTTACCACGTGATTCCACTTACCATGCTTCCTATTTCTTCCTAGGAGTTTACCCCACTAAAATCACTCTGTCAGCCCTTTCCAGCCCTGTGGTGACCTCAGGAGGAAATGTGACCTTTCAGTGTGTCTCACAAAAGGCATATGACAGGTTTATTCTAACGAAGGAAGATGAGAAGTTCTCCCTGGCTTTGCCCTCAGAGAAAATATACCCTGAGGTATTTGGAGCTGTGTTCACAGTGGGTCCTGTGACCCCCAACCAGAGGTGGAGGTTCACATGCTATGGCTATAACCTGAGGAGCTCTCAGCTGTGGTCAGTTCCCAGTAACCACCTAGAGGTCCTGGTCTCAGGTAAGGAAATGCATGATTTTCCTTTAAATGTAATTGCAACTGACACAGGAACCCAGGAAAGATCCTGATGTGTGGCGGGTGATTGAGAACCAGAACTACTGATAGCAATATCTCTGAATGTGTGAAACAGCTTGAGCCAAAGACCAGAAACCAGGGTTGATATTAAGGATGTAATTTAATCTCCATGAAAAAGTGTGGTGTTTATGTGTCCTTCTGCTATTGCAGATCAGCTTATGTGTCCCTGCAATGGTGACCTTCTCTGTGCAATTCTCCTAACAGATGCACCTCCTTTCTTTCTTCTTCTTTGCTGGGGCCCTTCATAATCCCACAATATGGGCTGAGCCAGGCTCTGTGATCACATCAGAGAGTCCTGTCACCATCTGGGGTGAGGGGACCTGAGGAACCCAAACATATGTGCTACACAAAGAGAGGAGACTAGAACCCCAGTGCAGACAGTTCCAAAAGAATCACAACAATAAGGCGAAATTCACCATCGCTTGTGTGACAGCACTGTAGACTGATATCCCTGTTACTCTCACAACTTTGCTGGCTTGTCAGGATCCAGGGACACCGTGGAGATGGTGGTAACTGGTGACTGAATAGTCTGGAGTCAGGTGGATCCCAAGATGTGACTCTTAAGATAAAAGTGTGCTCTGAATATATCCCCATGTGTTAGTCAGGTCTGAGGGACAACCCAGACTGTGAACCCATTTAATGTTCCACATGTATCTCTCCAAGGTGTCTACAATAAACCACCCTGTTTTCACTGCCAAACACTGTTGTAATATTAGAAGGCTCTGTGATGCTCTCATGTATCTCAAATCAGAGATACAGCTGAATGATTTTAATTAAGGATAAGCCTTTCTCCAGCTCCATGTGCTTACAATATGCATAAAGCAGGCTGTCTCTCGCCAGGTTCCAAATGGGTCCTGTCACACTCATTAAAAGATGGAGGTTAGCAACCCTCAAGTGTTGTCAGAATATAATGACATACTGTAGCATCTAGTCTCAGAGGAAGCCCCAGTCTCTCTGTTGAATGACACTGAATCTGAAACAGGTTTCCCCAGAAGACCCGAATGTGTGATGAGTTAAGGAAAGGACAGGTCCTTTAACCTACTGATACAGAAGCAGACCGTGGGAGTGAAGGTAGAGAAACCAATGAGGGGTCTTGTGAGAACAGAACCTGGTAGTTAGCAGAGAGATG